AGGAATGCCCCGAGATGGCGGTTGTTTTAACACATGTTATGCAATCGGTTTAAGCCTAATCGTTTATATTAGTTGACATTAAGCGAGTGTCAAGTGTACCTTCCAACCAATTGCTTTCGCATGCTCCACAGCAGCTGAGAGATCACTATCCGATGCCAACATTACTTGGTCGTGGTCTTCATCTTCATACTACACATTTTTTGTGCCAGTTAGCATTAAAATATTTCGCGTTTCTTAGTTACGGAATGCTTTTCTTCCTCTTCTTTCTACGTACCATGATCTGAGGCAAGCGGTCGGGATCAATGTCATCCCCCATTCTCTGAAGGATCGCTGTTATAAGATTCGTTAAGCTCTGTGTTTCTGCAATTACAGAAGGGGTTTATGAGTGTTGCGTCGATCATTCGACATATGATGCTATATTTCAAAGTATAACGACTACCATACCGCACATAAATCTATGCATCCTGCCTTTCTTGTCCTGGATCTTGAAAGTGAATGTCTTGGAATAGGAAAACGATTTTCCCGCATCTATCTCTGAAGATAATTTCATGGATCCCTCTTCACTGCAACAATGTGAATAACCAAACTGAACTTCATAAAAAAGGTATCAGGTTGAAACTAAATGACCCAAGAAAGGAAATGAGAAAAACCTCCTCGACTCATCTTCATCGTCATTAGGAGGTAAGGCCATGGCAGAATCCCAAAACTTTTGCATCATTGAGTTTGCTGTCTCGTTACTAATTCCAGCCATACTCCCAGCCTGGTTAAAGGGAATTAATTCACCAAAATATCCTCAGGCAGAAATGAAGGAAGAAGATTATTTATGTTCTAGAATTGTTCTATCTTCAGACTTCGTTCATCAGTTATGACTTATGAGCACATAGCGTAATTGTTTATCTTACTGTTACTTCTGAAATAAGACAAGAACACATCTAGTCCAATTATGACGGTGAAATGAGCTTTCTATTCATTTGAAAGAAAGAAAAAGAAATCTTACCGTAGTAACAGCAGCCTGAGTGATATGAATTACATCGATAACGGCAATGACATCTCCATCTGCAAGAAATTGATAAAATGTTAACTGGTGTATACTGAAGCAACAGTGCACCGGAGTATTTAAATTGGTCAATCCAGAGACTTCTCTGCAGTACCTTTATCTACTACAGGAAGATGCAAAAATTTCCCATCATGCATGATATGTAAAGCATCAACAATGGATGTGTCAACTGTCACGGATTCCGGGTTTGACGTCATGACCTAAAGAAGAACTCAAGGAAACACACAGACACGAGAAACGAAAATAAATACAGATTCCAGTCTCCAGAAACAGGTGAAATACAGAAATTGCTGAACCTTCAAGAATAATCACATCTTAAGCAGCAGATGCAGATGTTTTTAGAAAGCTTTCAGCCATACCTTCTCCACAGTTGTCGAGTCTGGAGGAAGATTTTGGGCTATAATCCGCATCAAAATATCCTTCGATCTAATAGTTAAAAATCACGAAAGCTTACTTGGAAAGTTTGAATATGAATTTGGTAGAGAATTTAGAGAAAATTATCTAAAAGCAGGGCTAAAGAGTGACAGATGTGAGACTCACGTCAGAATCCCTTGTAATTTGTTGCCAGTCATCACCACAGCTGAACTCAGCTGAAACTCAACCATCTTCTTTGTTACTGCTAACACCGTCTCATCTAATCCAACCTTTAAAACCCTGGAAGATCAGTTCGACGTTAGCTAATTGAGTTGTGTATTACATTCAAGAGAAATGAACCCAACAAAGCAATTTGTAATATGATATAGATTCAAAGAAGGTATTACCTACTTTGAATTCTCCGGAATTATTGTGGAAAGCGAAGGTCTGAATATTTGCTCCCTAAGTGTCTCAATAAAAGTACTAGGGCCTGCATATTCAGCCAAAAGTCATCAGACAACATGCGAGCAAATATTATGTAATAAAAGAGTTGTACGAAATTGCTGGAGAATAAAATGTAAATGCTTAATCCCAGTTTTGCAACATACCAGAGGCAGATGTTCCCCAGTTCTTCTCTACCCCTTCCACAGCAGCAGCTATGGCCTTTCCTTTCTCAGCCGCTCGTTCCATCCGAGCGATGGCATCATATAAACATTTTGCTATATCTAGCAGGGCAATAACTTCCCCATTCTCTACAACTGGCAAATGTCTAAACTTTCCTGTAGATGAACTTGCCGGATCAAACAAGGAAGATAGATAAAGTTGAACGGTAAACTAGAAATACGAAAGAGCAGAGAAGAAATCTGTTTCTTAGTGTTACAGACCTTGCACCATCTTTTGCAGAGCTTCCACAGCAATAGTGTCAGAAAGAACAAAGACAGGGTTCTTGGTCATAACTTTAGATACAGGAGTTTCTTCACGATTAAGTTCCCTTGCAATCACTCTTGTTGCTATGTCCTTCAACCAAGAGAGAAGCATAAATACACGGCAGCTAGTTTAAACAAACAAGAAGAAGAAACAAACAAACACAATGAGAGAGTTGATAATGAAACTTGTACCCTGTCTGTAAGGATTCCACAAAGTAAAGCGTTAGAGTCAGTCAACAACAATGCATCAACTCGACGTGCAGCCATCCTTCGACAAGCCTCATGGAGAGTCGTGCTATCAGGTACCGTAAGGGCTTTTGAAAGCCGCAATCTTTTTACTGTCCTTTCTCCGCTCCTCTCGCCGGTCAAACTCCTGCACCAATACACAGGTAGAAAATACATGGTACCATAACTTCACCAGCAAAAATTTCTGTTTGGGTGTCAAAATCCTAATAAATAGCAAGAGATAGCACATATATGTAGTTCAAATGTGTGAAACTTTCATGAGAACTTGAACAATTCGACTCTAGGCTTCACTCTTCATGCATCTAATCAATTTGAACATTTTTTTTTTTTTGATAACGGAGTATCCCTAGCTGCTACCCTTCGGGCGCACTGACGCGCTGACTAGGTAAACCTCCGGCCCGGGAACAGCCTTTGTATATGGCTAATCAATTTGAACATGTTGACAAACGAGAACTTATTATAGTCATTACTCAAGCGGCGATCAAAAGTTGAAAAGGATCAGAATAAAAATGTTCACAAATTGCACATTCAGAGCCAACTTTGTTTACGAATCATCCCAAAAGTTGGTTTTACCAAAGGAAAAAGGGTTATCGAGACAAGAAAAGGAAGTATCATCAAATTAACTTTCCCCTGCTTGAACATCTTTAACTACCCTAAAGAACCGGGTATCCTGGAAAATTACTGCAAAATATCTAGAAAGCCAAGCGAAAGTGAATCAACGACAAAAAATGACCAGACTAGTCTGTAATTGAAAGTTAAGATTGAATGGAACAGTTGCCAAACGCCTAAAATTTCCAAAATTCTATCCTTGCGAGAATGTATCTCGAACCCAGTATGAAGACATTGCCTACCGTGCAATAGAAGAAAAACTAAGGATCAATATTACCTTAACCCCTACACAACATTTTCAAAATGATGGAACCTATTGTGGCTAATAAAATGGGTTGGGGCGAATGATGTGCTGAAGATGAATTATAAGAAAGGGATAGTTACATGGAGGAACGAGAAGGCGTGAGGGATCTCCGAGAAGGAAGGTCGGAGCTTCCGCCCTCATTTTCGGAAGCTTTCTTCCTCCCCTGGAACGAGTTTCCGGAGAACGAGAGGCTTTTCCTCGACGAACCACCTTGATTAGCCATCTTCAAAGCCTAATGAAGCTTCAAAAATTCTGAGAGATCGTCAGATAATCATACCCAAATCAGGAATTCACGTATCAGAATGTGACAAAACCTGTAGAACAGGAAGAGATTCTGATCGAACGGGGAGAAATTCCAACACGAGAATGAACAACGAGGGATCAGCAATTCCGAGAGATTTCGACAGAGAAAGCGAAATTACAATCAAAACCACCAAAATAGTTGCTTTCTTCGTACACGTATCTTTCGATTTACAGAGGAAACCAGAGCCCAGAGAATCGGAACTTGCAAGCGATCCAAACAAAATACGAAACTGTTGAAGATGAACAGAGAAGCTAACCTCACGGATGTTACCGGAATTGTGCCGTAGAGATCGATTCGTGAGACAAAAAAACAAAAGTCTAACGAGAGAGAGAGAGAGAGAGAGAGAGAGAGAGAGAGAGAGAGAGAGAGAGCGGAAGAATTAAAATGGAAATACGAAATATGACGAAAAATGAAAAATCGTTGTCAATTCGGCCGTGGAACTTTTCTCATGTGCCAACGGAATCAAGTGAAATTACGTATATGCCCCTGCTTTCCCGGGAGAGTGCTCTTGTTGTTTTTACTTTTTACCGGCCATTATAATAAGTTCACTCGAATCTCAGATTTTTTTAACTGAAACTTTTTTTAATGTAATTCTTAATTGAAGAAATATATTCAACACTTATCCTAACCAAAAAAAAAAGACATCCACAAAATAAATCTATAGAGGTACGTATTTTCAGTGAGGAAAATAGTAAGATTTTAGTATAATTTAAAATAAATAATTCGAATTTATCGGTATTGAGAATGTTTTTGGATCCACGGTGATCTTCCTCTTCAAATTTTATTCCGTGTGAATGATTCAAATCTTATGGACCTTTTAAATATCTGGGCCTCGGACTCAATAGGCTTGTTTGTCACTTTTTGTAGGCTTAGTGATTTATGATTATGAACCCATTATCTATTCCATATCAAAACAATAATTGCTCTTTTGAAAATGTTTCAAACTATAAATAATTTTTTTTTTTTGAGAAAATCCCAGAAAAAACACTGAAATTTTCAATTTTGATAAAAAAAAATACCGAATTTTATTTTTTTAAATAAACATTAAACTTTTTAAACAAACTAAAAAAACACTGAATTTTTTAAATGATCTAAAAAATAAATAAATTTTTCTGCGTTTATAAAAAAACTGAACTTTATTAGTGATCCAAAAAAATACATGAACTTTTTTCGATTATCCAAAAAAACTAAGTAAAATAGTCTGACGTGTTTGTATCTTATTATGTCACGTCAGTCATTTTGTTTATTTGGACAACTGTATAAAAGTTAAGTGTTTATTTTGTTAAACTTAAAAAGTTCGATGCTTATTCGATAAAATAAAAAGTTCAGTATTTTTGTCAAAATTTAAAAGTTCAGTGTTTTTTTTAGATTTTTTTTTTATAATCCTAAAATTCACGGTATCGGTAGTCTAATTACATCTTTTACACGATTGGAGAAATCTATATAAATATCCCTTTCCAAATAGATATACGAATCTAGATTAAAAAAATCTTTATATTATTTCTTATTAGTTTTTTTAATAAGGAGTTTCACTGACTTTCGACCACTTAATCTGAAATCAGTTTTTAGTTACGTAATTAATTGTGTTTACCGAACTCATTATTTTGAGATATTGGATTATAAATAAATAACATTATATATTTAAATCAAATAATTAATATTTATCAATTTTATTTAAAAAATCAATTAGATATCATATTTTCAGATCAAATTATTCCACATTGTTGGATCTTCAGCAAATACTCTAGACGAAGGAGAGGGTGCCGAAGCCTCTAGGCGAGTTAGAAGCTTTCGATGGACAGAGGGGCGTTTTAGTCATTTGTATGGTCAGGGTTATGAGACCAATTAGGGTTTCGGGATTATTTAGACTTGTGCTTGCTTCTTCTCTCTTCGTTCTCTCTCTCTTGCGGTGGCCATCTTTCGTCCGTCGTGTGTCGGTGCCGAGGTAGATCGGTTTTTCCGGCGGTTGTACCTAGCAAATAGCGGTTCCCTCTTCCCGAGACGTAGGTACCGAGCGTTAGAGCTCGGTACCGAACTCGTAACTCCGGTGTCTCCTCTTCTTTCTTGTTCTTGCGCACGAACGAGTGAATCGGAGAGTTGATCGGTGAGGTTTCGAGAGGACAAATCTTCATATTAGAATAATAAACAAATTAAAACGAAAATTTATTTACAAAACTAATATTTATATTAAAAATGAATATGCATAGTTTTTTTTTCTGAAACTACAAAAAAAAATCTAAACACGATAGTGATGGAATCGAAACATAACCTCTACATATCCGAAAACGAACTAACGAAGGAATTGTTTGCCGTCTCATAGTTTTTTTGTAAAGCAAAATAATTTTTTAAAAAAATTGTTTAAATTGTTGGTACGGAACTCCTGTACCGTCCAATTATTAGAGAAAAGGTTACAAGAAAGGAAGTGGTTTAAATTCAAATATATATATATATATATATATATATATATATTTTGCACGATTTTATTGTGGGGACGTGGTACGTTTATGTGGACGTAGGGATGTCAAAATGGGTCGGGTTATACGGGTCGACTCAACCCGACCCACTTATAAACCCAAACGGGTTAGCCCATTTGGTTAATTTTTTAAAATGGGTTAAATGGGTTTTGACCCATTAAACTCATGGATTAAATGGTTAACCTATTAAATTCATCATTATATATTTAGTTAAAATTAAACTCTATCTTTTAACTAATTAAAATTGTTATATTTAGATATATAAAAATTAACATATATAGATATATATATATATATATACGAATTAAATCGAAATATTTGGTATCGTTTTCGAATCAAATCGCATCAAATCGTGCCGAAAAATTTGAATCGTATAAAAACTCGATACCGTTCTGAATCGAACCAAAAAAATTGGTTTTGTTTCCGAATCGAATCATATCGAAAAACTCGGTGTCATTTCTGAATTGAATTATGCCGGAAAATTCGAACCGTATAAAAAAACTCGGTACCGTTCCGAATCGAATCGTACCGAAAAACTGGATATCGTTTCCGAATCGAATCGTGTCGGAAAATTCGAATCGTATAAAAAACTCGGTACCGTTCCGAATCGAATCGTACCAAAAAA